CTCTCTCTCTCTCTCTCTCTCTCTCTCTCTCTCTCTCTCTCTCTCTCTCTCTCTCTCTCTCTCTCTCTCTCTCTCTCTCTCTCACTCTCTCTCTCTCTCTCTCTCTCTCTCTCTCTCTCTCTCTCACTGCCACTCTCTCTCTCTCTCTCTCTCTCTCTCTCTCTCCATTACCTCGGACACCCTGCCCTCCAGGTTGACGCCCAGCACTGATGTCCACACAGCGTACACTCCACACACGGAGTACGGCACCGCCACCATCCACACTCTGTGATTCCTAGAACGACATTTTCATTTTACAGCATGTGTAGTGATGAACAATAACGCCAGGGGAGACTATTCATATCATGTTTGTTCCCCTTTCTTTGCTTTGGGACATTGGGTGAAATAGTGACTAGAATAATTTTAAAAAATTAACATCAGACAAATAATTCAATAAAAGAGATTTTAGTAAATACAAATATTTTACACTGAATTTCAATATCGGTGTGTATTACCGTAATATAGAGTTGGGTTAAAATATTACTAGAACATAAACAGGGTTTAATGCTTCTTCACATTTTGAAATATGCAAGTAAAGATAATATCAAGTGCCCACTTCAGTAAAGCGACGAGTCCAGCATTGTGGTCAACCCTAATGGTGGACGCCGAGGCCGTCGGTGGAGTTGGCGGTTTGGACGGAAAGTACACGACCATCAGGAGAAAGATAGCGATGCTCCACCCCGCTTCTGGAAATGACAAGCAAATTATAGATGAGACGTTTGGTACCTCCACCTTGGCAGTTATGTTTTTGCCTTTGTTAATCTTCTAGTTAACGGTCTAATTCAAATGGACGGATTTTGGTAAAAATTCAAAATAGGTCAGAAATGGGTTTATTTAGATTTTGGTGGCGATCCATTAATTAAATAATTAGAATTGAGCTGCGTGGAGGAGGTCTGCGCTATTTGAGTGCTTTTCTAGTCATATTATAACATTAAGATGATCTGTAATCGTAAATACGCATATGCCAAACAGAACAGGATAATAAAAATAGAAAAGGATGCGCGGTATGGTATGAAGTTAAGTGTGTTAGGAAACATGATACCTATGTAACGTATTACAAGTAAGAAACAAAAGCTGATCCAAAAATATACAAACCTATATACATCAACAAAAGAATATCCGAAGCCACGTCAGCTTTAGAAGGCTCGCTGGAAGCGAAATATTAAATAATTAAATTTATATACGACGCACAGCAAATGGTAGTTGTATTAAAACGCTGACATACGTGTTAAGAGGATATGACAGCATGAGGAGCTACATTGTATTTGTCGCTCGTCTAATTTGTACTTACCATGAAGAATTAGCGAAGCAAGAACAGTTGATCGAGGAAAGAGTGCAGTTTTCTGCCGAAGGGGGAGCTCGAATCATAAGCGGCCCTGAAAAAAGGTTCATCAAATCCTGAAGAGATCTATCAACAGTTATGATGCACCGATGTTTAAAAAGAAAAATATGAAAGAACTTTGTTACAGAAGGAAAATTAGTAAATACTGACTCATGCCAATGTCAACAGATGACAAGAACGTTTTTAAATAAATCTTCCCTCTTTTGCAGATGCAGACATGATGCACTGCACCCTTAAAATGCCTGCTAAGACAAATTTTAGTCTTAAACCCTTCTATGACTCACAGTACTTTATCACACAAGTAATACACGCACCTATAATAAAAGTGACTGCTATCCCCAGGACATTTGCTGTAGCTGTGCAGGCGGTGACAGAGGTTCTGTGCGCCACCGGAAACCAGGCGTTAGACAACAACGGTCCCGCTGCCATAGCAACTGGACCCCCAATTCCGTTTAGGAGCTGTCCCGCGTGAATAAGCCTATTGATGTATTTAAATATGAAGACATTGTATTGTTCACACCCCTTATAGTTGAAATATTTTTAAATTGGATCTTATTTAGGCATAAACGTAACGTGAGTGTGTAATGTTTTGTCGTATAGTTGTTGATATTGAGACCTAGCTGGCAACGTAAAATGTTATCCATTGTGATGGTCAATGTTCAGAAAAGTTAAATTATGACGTTTCATATCTTTTAATCATAAATTGTTAATTTTACGTTTGTTTTATCATCTGTAGTATATATCATTCACCTGTTAATACAATATCTTCTCCTTGCCTTTACCACAAAATTCAATGCAAGAGTCTTTGAAGCACGTTTGGGTGAAGCGGTGCGATTAAGGGTGCTTTCCCAGAGATTTAGATCGATCTAAAGATTAAGTTTTAGATCGACCTAACTCCCTGGGGGTTCAGGCTAAATTGCAGTCAGCCGAGCGGACACCATAGTTAATTACCTCCTTAGAGCTTTTAGTAGGCGGGACAGACGCTTAAGCCGGCCAAGCTGACAGTAATCTAGTGAGACTCCCCACAGGGATAGATCGATCTAAAAATCTATGGAAATGGGGTGTAAGTGGTCACCAGCATTCACCGGACTTACCAAGTGGCCGCGACTGGTTCCGTGGTTATACATCTGAGGGCAGACCCTACCGCAACCAAGGCCATGGTTATAACACACGCCCATCTCAAACCTATAAGTGTAAAATGGGTACTTACCCATGTTAAAATCTTCATAAAAATAATATGTTGGAGAAATATATAGCTCTTTCTTCCTTCCATATCTGTATGCTTCTGTTTTATTGTTTTATAAGATTTATGGTAGACTTTATCAAAATGCTCTGGTTTGTATATGATTTTACTCAAATAGGCCTAAACTAGTATGCTATTTTGAAGGGAAAAATTAAGGAAAGGAAAAAAGGACGGCAACCATTTAAAATGTTGCTAATCAACCAAATTACGCATATGGCATTTAAAGCTAGCACTTTCACTTAATTTCTTTTTGTTTGTATGTATGTGGGTGTAGCTTTATTTCTGTCCCGAACAACGAAAAAACTAAAATATTATCTACCTTTTACGTCCATGAGCCATGTGAATATAAACGTGGACAAAACAAAAGTTATAGGCCCCCAGTTTGACAACAGGTCAATATCGCCATCATTCCAGCCGAATGCATATTTTGCACTTGTGGTCACGGGGCCCCAAGTGTTCCATATGCCGCCCTGTGTGAAAGTTAGTAGACAAAACATGATAAGTATGTACCAGCGCCTCTTGTAAACCACACCATTGTACTCGGTGCTGCCATCTTTCGAATTGTATGAGTGTTGGTTGGCCACTTCCGTATTAATGGAAGTGATCCCTGGTTGTATTATGTCCGGTGCCGTGTCTTGTGAATCGCAGTCAGCGGACGTTGGCTCCCTCACAAGAGGTTCCTTGTCATCAAGTGACATCCCTGTGTTTGTTACTGCGGTAACAAATTCCTAAATACCGCCTGTCAAAATCCACTTAGGCCTATTAATAACGAAGTGATGAACTTGCATCAAATTGTACCTCTGTGCACCTGTACATTCTGTTAAACATTTATGGTAAACGTTGTTTTTTTTTCCAAGCAAGGGAATGGATAATATCAGAAACCTTTCGTTGTACAATCCAGCAGTCGAGTCCAGATACGGCCGATATTTTAACTGCTCAGCTAAATCTGTCTGTAGGTGCTTCCGCTATCCAAACTGGCCCAATTTTGACCTTTACCCACGTTCTTGTTTGATGTAGATCTGTATTGGTTTATTAACTATCATGAAGCAAGGGGGTAATAACTACAGCGGGGTAATCGGGAGATTTACAGATAAATTAACAGATAGACTAGAATGAGAATGGAAGAATGAGGCCTACATACTCTAAATATATTATCTCCTGGTTATTTTTTGGGCAGGGGGGCGGGTGACAGAACTCGTATTGATTTTTCATTTGTAGGCCTATTTAATGCGTTTGCATGCAAACCCTAATACACTAAGGTAGTGTTTATATCCCAATTTATCCCAATTTATCTGTCTCTCCCCCCTCCCCCCTCTCTTTCTTGCGTAACAATCGCACTTAAAAAAGTAGGTCACATTAGATACGCCAAGTTATGTCGCATTCTGATGGCAAATATACAGCTCCATGTCACATGGTTAAACACGTGTATGACAATAATTGTTTGCTTGTGGAAGATGGGTGCCAATTGACCTGTTAATACGACGCACAATCTTGGCCTACAATCTGTCCTATCTGTAGCCAAATTGACCCTATCAGATCTCATGGTAATTAAACGAAAAAATAATTAGATAAATTATTAGAAAAATAATAAAACGTCATAAATAGGTCAATGGTTTGATCAATCCATGAATGAATGATGAGTGAACAAGTAAATAATCACTGAATTGAAATATGAAAAAAACATAAACTATAAAAGACCAAGGAATGAATAAATTAAGAAATAAATGAAAATGTAGTTCATTTAAGTAAAAAAATAAAGTGATAGGCCTACGGTTTGCATAGGTCTTTCAGCTCGCTGAGCTTGGCCTTTTCCTTCCTCCCCCTTTTCCAACTTTGTCGGTCCTAGGCACAGGAAGTAGAGAGGTTATTATCTATTTTAACAAATCACTGAAATAGTTCCAACTCCCAAGTTCATTATTTAGCTGTTACCCTTAACCCGGCGCTATATATTTCTAAGTGGTAACCCCCACCCCCATTTAAAATTATAAAGTTATTTCCAGCTGAGCTTAAAACTTCCGGACACAAAGAACAAAACAGTCCGATAGGCATGTACACTTCTTCGAAAACGTGGCGACTAATTGGCTGATCTGAACATTCGCGTAACTGTTACTGTTATATTCGCTCATATTCCACATATTATGTAGTAATGCCCATTGTAACGTTGTCCTGAACTTAGAGCCTGGGGCAAACATCTCTGTTGTGAGATAAAGCCACACAATACCCATTATCTCCAATACTGATAGCGGGTGATACACACGCGCGCGCATCATTAACGGCACGAGTCGCGTTCGCACAAGTTTTGGGTGTTCCAGTCGATGTAAGTAACGATATGGCTTTAGTAAGGATTTTTTGTCTCGCACTTATTCTAACAACACAAATCACGGGACTGCAGGGGACACGGCTTCCTCGAAAGGTTCTGTCTTTCCCGATTGCAAACGCAGCCTTCACGACACTCGTTGAAAACAAAACTGCCCCACAAGGACAGAGGTGGAATTTTTACGCATCAGCTTTTAGTGCGATTCCCTTCTCCAAAGACTACGTGTACGTGGTTAGGGGGATAGAGCGTTATCTTCTGAAGAACTCTACAAACGTGAAACCTGACGTGGTGACACATGACACGGTCTGGCCTAACGAAATTAGTGGCGTTCCAGGTGAGTGTGTTTATAAGCAAAATTTCAGGATGCATAGAATCAAAGAGAGACAGGTTAGTTTACACCATTGCAATATAGCTAGTTTTCCAAAAGTGTGCTAAGTGCATTAAGTACTGATTTACTGCCAGAAAGTGTTTTATTTACGATAACATGCAAATTTTGCGTATAAAATACACGTGGTAAACAGTGTATTAGCACTACTCAATTTGCTGGAGATATTTGTATTTTTGGACAGATAGCCTGTATGGACACAGTCACATGTCCTAGATGGCAAACAAGTCAATCAATACATATCTTGTGTCATGGCCATAGAGATTTACGTGTACCTTTATCTTTTGCACAACAAACCATTCACACCCAAACCCAATATAGAGGTGCAATGGAGGTCACAGGCATGATCTTACAAATATTAAGTGCACAGATTGCAAACTATGTTTCATTATTTTAGGGTCCCACATGAAGAAATTTGTATCAAAGTTTCAATCTCCTGGAACCATGAATAATAAAAAATAATTCATCTTCTATCACCAAAAAGGAACATACGTTACTGTCACAAATGCAAAACGTCCGACTGTGAAATGTTTTACTCACTTTGCAAATTCAGTCATCACTGGTTTTGTTCTTTGATTTATCTCCTACAAGTATAACGTTGTGAAAAATTATAATAATCTTCTGTATAAAGCAGTTAATTGTTTTTGAGCGACTTTAATTTGTCTTGTCTTGAATATTCAAAAAACGTGGGAAATACACCCTTCCGACAGTAAAAGCATTAAATATATTAATTTCCCTCGTCATTCAAATATTATATCAGAAATGTCAAACTATCATGGAATCACAATATATTTTTCGGCCAGCAACAGAAAACACTGCTTTCTATTGCACCAAGTACTTGAACAAAATGAAACTTTCTGACAATTTTTCTAGGGTACATACGTTACCCAGTATTAGCCATCACGCAAAGACCCTTGAGTTACGGTTTAAATATTTATAAAAACATCCTCACGTCATGTATAATTTACTATGACTCATTCACTACAAAATATATCGGAACGCGGTAAAAAATTAAAATTAAATGACCTGGAACATACGTTACCATTTAGGGCTCTTTGCGTAATGTAAAAACATAGTAAAAAATAAAATTTGAATTTTAATTGAGACAGTCGTGAATTTTTCTTCTATACACACATGTTTTAAAAAATTGAATACAACTTTGAATTCTTTCAATTTAATTTTTGACACTTCAGCATTTGAAATACTGAAGTGTTTGGGTTTGGGTGTCAGCCAGTTTGTCACACGTAAGTGTGAAGAGTTAAAACACGCCTGGTAGTCCTAAGATATATAGCCTCATATTCTGATATAATTACACTGGTATTTGTTGAAACACAACCGATTCATATTCCTTGTCATACTATTTAATATGGTCGAGCATGAAGCCATTCAGACACTTGGCTTCTCTGGGATTTCTCTTGGTTTCACTAACCGATTAGAATGACACACGGAGTGGTTTGTGCCACGCATTGAGAGACTACTGTTTCTTGTAGTAGCGATTTTACAAAAGTTCAGTTAGTAAAGACAGAAGCCATGGCAGAGTTGTTTTTATTTCGGAGTATCAACCAGTTTATCAGTGAGATGATAACTGTGGTGATACAAACGCATATTATAGATATAACAGTTTGAACCCACTGCTTTGCTTGTCACCTGTCACCTGACAATCTCAGGGGGCATGGCTTGCTCACTCAAGTGTCTTTGTCGCAATATCTTGTCTGTTTGGCTCTCTTATTTTTATTTTAAGTTACACAGAGTCACGAAATGCTGTACAACTGGTCTAGCTATTTACACGTCCTTGTGTTCTAAAAAAACTGAAGAACGGAGAATATATACAACAGTTTCCCCTATTTATTTCAGCCGAAGTTTTTGGAAAACCGACCCTAGCGGTTCCAGATGGATTCTTGTTGCCAACTAAGACAGCGGGAGACATCGGCATATATGACATCAACGTAAACCCACCAAGAGGTAGAGTTAGAATTACGTAAATTATTTAACTGGCCAAATTTGGACATATACTGCTAAATGATAAGATTTACTTACCAGCCGAATATAAAGTTTTGGAATTGTCTAAAAAGAGCAACCTGATGGTTGACGATGCTGTGCGATTTGTTAACTGTGTATAAGTTTTTTTCATTATTTATTTAATATGCACTGTGGTTCGGAATGCGCACAAATGAGGAAATTATGAAAAGAAATAGTGTTTTCCTTCTCGAACCTAACACACATGTACCTTTATTAACACGATAGTACAGAAGGGAATTTTACATATAAGAAAGGGATATGACGTTCCCAACAAACGCAATTTTCTGTTCTCACTGCTGATAGGTCCATTCAGAATTTCCCATGATGACAACGACAAACAGAACTGGTTCTATCACCGGGTCATTTGGAAGGATATGAATGGAGATGGGCGTTTGGACGCAGTCGCGGCCAGAGCAGAGAAGCCTTTCTTTGGTAAAACCGATGATTATTTATGATTGTGAGCTCCTTGTTTACATTTTTGTGACCCTCGACCGCCATTGGTGGTACCTTGATGAAAAAATGGTCAATAGGGAAAATATAACAATTGCAAATATTTCTCGGACATCTGCTGATTTGTGATTAATTTAATTCCCATGAGTTATTTAGCTGGTTAGAAGTAAGCCTGTTAAACTTCTATAGCAACATATTTCTATTAAATCTTGACATAACTGTTTCATAATATTGCAATTTAACACTAAAAATGAATTACCAAATAGATATATTAAAAGTTAAAACTAGTGAATAAAAATAAAATGCAATAAGATCTATTAAATAAACTCCTGCATGAATGGAATCTTCTAGGCAATGCAAAGGGAGAACTCTTGTGGTTCGAGCACCCGTCCGGAGACCCGTTCACTTCACAATGGAAACCCCACCTGTTATTGAATGGCCCTGACACCTTCATCATCAACGCCACGATGAAGGTCGGGAATGGCGTGTATGACACCATCATAGCTCCGCAGTTCTTCTCCCAGGCTCTGGTCGTGTATTGGTCTGTAGCTCCTTTGATGCTTTGGACCGACCCATCCAAGGTTCGTCTCTCTCTCTCTCTCTCTCTCTCTCTCTCTCTTGAACACACACGAGCAAGCGTGCATTTTGTGCACGTGTCAAACTTGGGTAGATTAATGGCTAACTTTATTTGTGGGTATACCATGAAGAACGCACTCAAGGCCTTATATGGCTCCTGCAAAGTACAGACATGCAGGCCCACGCCATGGTTTTTAGAATGACACTTTTAAATCGAATTCTTATATCCAATTAAAGAGGATAAGGTAGAAAATACAAGACAAATTTGAAATGGGAAAGTTGTTACAGCATTGCAAATGTTTTCCATTCTGATACGCAGATTCGAAGCGTGATAATCGACGACAAGGTTGGGCCAGCTTTTGACGCAAGAGTAGTGGACCTCAATGCTGACCAGAAGCCAGACCTGCTGGTGACCAGTAACCAAGCCCAAAATGGCGCAGTTTTTGCCTATCAGCTTGATTACAATTTGCCGTTAGAGTGAGCTCATTTATTTTAATTGGCGTTCCTTCTTAGCCTACCATTTTGGGTCCATTTTATCAATAGTTTGGCATTACCCTTTTCTTGCAAAAAAAGATATCTCGTGTTATTATTTTGACATATTATTTTAATGTTATTGGTATGATTATGTTCCAGAAACACTACTTTTGTAAAGCACGTGTTAGCAGACGGGTTCACCCCCAGGCAGTCCGGCCAGGGGAAGGGTTCACCAGGTGCAGCGAAGCCGTTCTACCCCTCACTGAAGTGAGCACCGTTTTTGAAGCACAATGTTAATCGTCATTTGATATGAAGACACTCTTGTGAAAATTAGCATTTTTTTAATGACAGAATACACTTCCAGCATACGATGTTAAAAAGGTACCAAGCGTGCCAAGACATCGTAAAAATATCTTGGCATGCGTGTACATAGTGCTCTTGTAGCTGATAACGATATGCCATTGTGCACGCCTACGGTCATATGTACACTGCATACAGCATGAAAAGATTACATGGCAGACATTTTCTAAAACCATCGCGCTGAAAATGACCGTTGAATAGCGATAAACTTATCTTTGGTATTAAGAGTGCATCGAAGAGCTTTTTCGTTGCACGCTGGTGACAGGAATTTTTTCGGAAACAAAGCAGTCGACTGCAACCGTGAACGCTCTAGATGCATAAAATATAAAGACATAAAATAGTTTAATTTATCCCGTTTCAGAAACGCCACAGGGAAGCCACATATCCTAGTCTGCGGAGATGACGATGGGAGGGCCTATCTTCTTATACCACAGAGTGCCGACCCAAGCAACTGGAAGTATTCGAAAGAGGTTTTCTTTGATGGCGGGAAGGAAACAGTAGGAGAAATAGCCATAGAGGATGTCGACGGGGACGGTTTTGTTGAAGTTTTTGTGCCGCTGTATTACAAGGGAGAAGTAATTGTGTTTTCCTTTGGTCCTTAGCGTTCGTATTTTTATTAAAATGTGGCGATGCGTTGTTTTGTTTCTTTGAAGTATTTGGAGGTCGTGCTTGCACACTTTTTCAACGCTAGCTGGCATTGTTTTCAATCCAAGTACTTCCTTAGCAACAGAAAGAGACTAACAATTGTTTTGGTATGCTATCATATAATATTGTCATAAATAAAGATGTGAAGAAAAGAGAAATAAATGCACACCCTTTATGTGTTTTATTAGGGACGACGAATACTACTTTTAAAGCTAAAGTACTACACGATGTTTATTGCAAATGAGTTTATTAGGTAGCCTACACGTTTTATAAAATAATATACACCGTTTTGTGTGGAAAAAAGACAATGAAGACAATAACAGTAATTTTTTCCGTCAAAGACATGGAGCATAAAACTCTCTTTCTTAATCAAAAATATGCGGAAGCTACTTCGTAGCGATCTGAGCTTGGAGCACTCCAAAAGGCTGAATACAACTCAGTCTGAATAACCAGTCACATTCTGGTTGACACGGGGATAGTTTTTTTTTTAAGACCAGGTCATTGATCTGGATGGTCAAAATATGTTCACTGTGGACAGTTAGTCCTTGCAGGGTCAGAACGTATAATTCCGATTCTGTGAATTGTATCTTCGTTTTCTAAATCAAATGATTTTAGAATCATGTCACTTTGGCTCGTTTCTCGAAAACTTTGCCATTACGGATTTTCGCAAAATTTTAATTAATCAAGCAGTCAAATTCAGCCAGCGATACCCAAACGGAAAACATATACATATAAATTCGTGAAATGGGCCACTGATTTAAGTTAATATGTCATGATTTGGAAATATTAGTTCGTTTATCTTGCTTATTAATCGGTGGTAATCTGGTAAAACTGTTCATGACTTCAGGACTGCTGTTATATTCCTTCCTTACATTGTACCGCGTCAGGTAGCCATAACTGAGCATCCTCTGCACGTGTTTTTTGTAGTTCTTTGGTTTGATCACAGGTTTTTTAGTTTTCGAGTTTTTCGACTCCTGAGTATCGTCTGGTGGCGCGACGTCACGAGTTTCTACGGGACTGTCGGGTGCGCGCGCAGAGTTTTGGCGCAATCTACTCTCCAGAAAACTCGTCATTACTGGTTTGTAATTAGACCTAGGGCGTTCCTCGTCCTCCTCTTCCTCGTCCGTCAGAGAGTCTGAGGTGGTGTCGGAGTCCGTGCCAGCATTACCGCTGTCGTTTCCTGGACTTGTAACGAAGCTTGCTCTGATGGCTGAAATATTGGGTAATGGTAACAGATATTTGAACTAAATCCAATAAATCTAGACGTACATTTAAATTTAAATTAAGATTTAGACGTACATTTGATCGAAATGTGCAGAACAACGAAGCTCTTTACTCTGTTTCGTTTAAGTGTTTGAAATAGATCAGAATTGTGCTGATATTCATTTTTTCCAAAATGACTCAAATAAACCAGAGCTTGTATTGAATATGGGAATACCATTTATGATTGGTAAAACCAACACCCCCAAGCCAAATGTAACTAAAAATGCTTTGCCGCAACTGCTATGTAGATATTTCCAATTATTCAGTTTTGATTCGGATTCAAATTAACAATGATTATGACCTTTATTTTTCCTCTTAAATATGTGTTATATTTACCATTCTCTTCTTCATCCGAAACAAAAGTTCTTGGAAAGAAAACAAAGTCCACAAGTTCCTCCAATTTGATTGGTTGGCGCGGAGTCTTTGATTTGAGCATGCGCAGTGCTTGCGATGGCTGTAGGAACCAAATCAGGTCACGCTGCTCCTCTTCAATATCCAACTTTGGGTCACCTTCTGCATCACTGTTCTGTTCAGAACGAAAAAGGGAGATGCAATGCAATTATTCCTCTAGATATATAATGTGAAGATCGAAGCCTTATTATGTTAAGTATATTTAAAACGTAATACATTTAATTTATTTAATCTTTTAAAGGGATCTAGAGTACAATTGTATACATGTACTAAAAGGATCCACTTGTTTATAAATTAAGTTATAGGCCCTACATGTTGGAATCATACAGCGTTGATACGTCATGATGTTATGCATTTCGATATTATAAGTGAAATTTGTTGTAAAGAAAGCTCGTTCACATGCAAGCTCAGATATTCAAGTTTTTTTTATTACCTTACAAATAAGATACGCCTCCTCAAAAATGCTTGAAGTCTCGGCCAAAATCTCCTGAAATATTAGAATCGAGTTTTTTCCCTTTAATGATTATAATCAAATTGTTGTTAGTGATTGAGTACTAAAAAAGAAGAGGAATGCAAACATGTAGAAAACAGTAATTTATCCACTAAAATGCAAAGCTGTACGTTTCGTGGGGATAGAGCTTAGCAAGCTACAGCAGTTTTTAATAGTCGTTTCGCTTTCAATAGCGCGCATGGTCACACAATACCACATACACGAAAAATGATAAAAATGGGCAAATAAACCGGTGGTAGACTTACCCTGAGTGTCTCTTTGCCAGCTCGGAAATGCTGCGAGATGGAGTTGTTGTTTACTTTCATGCCTCCCAATTTATAACGTATGTCCTTCAAGGAGTCTAAGCTGAACTGAAAGTGGCGGTGTTTCCACACCCCTAGGCTGGTGTTGTACTCGTACTGAATAAAGCGGGCGATTTTGTTAATACTTGTACATGTGGATAATATAACGTAACTTAAACATGGACTGAAATGATGAAATCTTTAAATAAATGGCACGGAACTTGTCTGGCGTAAACCCGTATAAATAATACAATTTACATCGACGAAATTCAACGATGTGGAGTCTATTTAACTGCCACCAGCGAGTTTTGATATAATTTTAGATCAAAAAGACAGCAGTAGCACATGCACACCTTATTGTTCATATAATGAAACTGAATGAATCTTTCCACTGCCAACTCACTGTCAGCACTTACCAGAGGGAGTAACTTCCACCCGTGCTTGGCAACTTGATCCACTGCTCCTAGCACAAAGTCCACGGTATGATTTGGCAATACGTAGGAAATATATACACTCGTACATCCCGTTCTGTAGAAATTAAACAAACCATGTTAAAGGGATAATGACAACAATCTCTCTCAAAGTGTCAGAATGCCAAAGCCGACTAAAAACAAGGTTTCTTTCAAAGAGATGTGATAAAAGATCACTTCAGTTTGGATAAAGAAAGCATAACTGACATTCATACAATAACGATTTGTCATTTTCTTTTATTATCAAATAAATATCTGTAAAACCTAAAACCACTTACTTCAATATAACAAGTGGTATATAAATATTTCTACAATTACTCCAAAAATGAACATTTGAACAAAATATAGCATTAGGAATGACAAATAAAATAAAATGAATAAATATATGAGGACTGTACACTTAGTCGGACTTTGATATTTCTGCACTGAAGAAATAAGTATATATAAAGCAAAAACACGGTAGTAGACAGTAAACATATAACATAATAAATGAGATTTTAAAAAAAGCAAAAACAAGGTAGTAGACAGTAGACGTATTAACATATCGGCCGTAAGTCCGATGTTGCTTGCTTACCGTATTTTCTCTTCGGTCAATTTTTTATTCAATTTTCTTGATAATTCGTCGTCGATTTCTAGCAGGTCCTGAAACCAACGGGAAAAGCGTGAAAAGAACTTTTCGGATTTTATTGAACCTCTTATCACTTGGTTAAATTAATTTATATAAACAATATATTCTTCAACAGAAAAAAATAATGACGACACAATTGACAATGACGTCATGATCTACTTACCTCCATATAAGGCCCAGCGTTCCCACAGCCGCCATATGCTTGTATGCCGTACAGATCATTAAGCAATATGGCAACAAAGTTATGATGCAGGAAGGTTTTGCTCTCAGGATGAATTACCAAGAAGGAAAACATCGGTATCGTTTTTTGAGACCTGGGACCCAATTGGAGCAGGTAGGGATTGTGGCGCCATCTATCCATGGCTCGTTGACAAATTTCTTTATTTTTTGATTCTATCATTTCTGTTCCTATAGCCTTTGAAAAGAAAGATTTACCATTGGAGTAGATCAAGCTGAGTTTATCTTTTATCTTTTATTAGGACAACACAAGGTATATGTTTAAGAAGCGCAATTTGATAGGAAAAAGTATGAACGCATTCATATGAAGGGTCAAAATGACATTTATCTTAGTGCTTATTCCCTTATCCTCTCTCCCTGTGGGGACATACAAACGACATTCAGGTTCGACAAAGTGGAAAGAGAAAAAAAACTACCTCTTTTAATTGGAGCACTAAGCCCGTCCTTATGGACTCCATAATGGTGGACATCCCCAGTTCACCTTTGTCGTCATCTACACGGTAGTTCTCAGATCCTCCGCCACAGTTTCCAGGGTCGGAGTTTGTTACAAATTTTCGTTTAATGATCAATATACCTGTGAAAGAATAAGTCAGCCATGGGATTGGATTCTCCATAACAAACCGAAAGAAGGCTGAATGGAAGTTAGACATGATTCTACTTTCAACTTTTAAATCACTCCTATCGTTTTAAGAAATAAAACTGTTATAAAATAGTACAAGGTTTATTCAACATTGTAAGAAGATGTATTCATTAAGAAAGCACCTAATATTGAAACTGACACCGTGCTACAGAGTTCTCTAGGCTGTACAACTTACCTGAAGCGCCTGTACCGCCCCCTAGGAGTATGTCAGAAGAACAGAAGGCAGCGTCGAGGTACCTGGATGCATAGGCAACGTACTATTGTGGTGAGGTTCTGACCACTTTATTTGGTTAATTATTTGTTTTTTTCTTATGAACGTTTGTGCCTTGGAATTTGAAGCCTTAGTCTGTAGACTTAATTATTCATTAGTCTTTAGCTCATGCTATTGTTTCGCAGAGTTTCTAATTCATTCCAATATAAAACGGCTACTGGGTTGTTGCGCTACTATGCAATCGTTAGAAAATTAATATGATTTCTAATTTTTCCATTTATGGATTTTACTCACGTCAGCATATAAAATATTCCTTACTTACCCACTGTCTATGGCATTCATATCAATCCCTTTGTTGGGTACTAAAAATAAATATATGACAACATTACTTGTGCATGCATTAAACCAAATCATATCTATGGACCCATATTGCCATGGGCAATTTTACATGTTCTAAAAAGCGGTAATTGATATATTAATTGATATGTTATCAATGAAAGAGTCGTTCTTCTAATTGTGCAAATAAGCTATGAGCCACTTACTTGCCGCTGTACAGTCCCACACAGACAATGCTCCGTGTTCGTGTAGTATTCGTGAAATTTTCGCAACATCTACCGCAACTCCGGTCACGTGACTTACTGCAGTAAACGAGGCTACAGTGTGATATTTTTTCTTTTTATACGTCTGAAATAAAAGAAACTTGGCCATTATAAATGATACCATAAAATATGTTTGTACCTTAGCTCACAGGCTAACAAAAACTGAAATATTGCTTCAAAAGTTCTAGATTGCATGCAATGGACCTTGACAAATGATATAAAACTAAAGAGATTCGCACAGAGAGGCAGTTCCCTAACTGTGCACTTTGTGTTAATCCCCAATCGGTTTTTGTTGTTGTCCTTAACTAAACATTTATCAAAGTTCGTTTAATCAAACTAAAGACCAAGAATTGGAAGTGCGTTCGCGTTCAAACCTTAAGCATTTCTATGAGATGATCGGTATCCAGGCAACCGTCCTCGTTTTGGCGAACTCTCTCTACCTTCATCCCGCTCTCCTGCCATGTTTGTATGTTCATACTGTGCTCAAAAGGACTAAGTAGCACGACCTATATGAAGGTGAAGTCAAATATAGCATCCATCTTTTTTATCACCATGATAAACAACTGATAGCATAAGATTAGAAATGAAGAAAATAATGGTGTTTACGATTGCCTGTCATTTCTAATTTTACGGAATATACTTATACTTTATGGAAGATACTTATATAACAACAGAAGATTTCACGTTTTTTTATTTTATTTAATTTCATTTATTTGTTTACTTATTTATTTATTTTTGAGAAGCGTTAAAGATCTGCAAACCATGTTGTTGTCAGTTTGAAGTTTGGGTTTGAGCTTCAGAATGTGGGTCAGCTTGTGCAGGGCTCCAGTGGCGCCTCCACCGACGAAATAAACCACGTCATCTTCCGAACAATTAAAACACTTCTTGGTTGTGTCCCTTGTAAATTATGCAATATAAAAGCATTCAAAAGCGACAAAGAAAAAAACAGCTAATCATTTTATAATAACGATATAATAATTGCGCAAGCATTGCTTTACATATTATCGTAATCAGGTGTAATAGAACATATTATCTCTCTGAGAATATAACATTGGATACACTTATGCAGATAAAAGTAACAAACGTTAACAAGACGCCTTCTAGTTGACGCAAGTGAGACCAGTTCAAATAACATACAGCCCAGTGGTGTTTTTGAATAAATAAAACCTTAGAAAGTGGACAAATAAAATTTGAAAGTTTTGTCTCTCTTCATCCTTAAAAGAGTTAAAGAGTTGCCTTTTTTATTGATTTCGACCTACCTTGCGCTCTCTCTAAATGCCGCCAACTGAAGTGACGTTATGCACGTTGTAGCTTGCGCATGCCCATAAGTCGGATACACGTGACATCTCATATAATCCTCTATAAACTGCAGGGGTCTGACATAAGATATAAAAACATTTGCAGATGGTCATAAACGGTCAGTCAAACATCCTATAATTAAATTATAAACCCATTCCTTCTAATAAAGGGAAGTGGCGAATGAAAGCTTGGGGTACGAGATAAAAAGCCTCGTGGATAAACGTGAAAAAAATCAGTTTACAAACGTTAAAATGCAGCTTTAGACACCAAAAACGTTCTTGACATTTAAAAAGTAAAGGTCAATAGAAAGGGAACAAAGATGACTGGAACGCGACTCTCATACACTTACCTTCCAGATGAGGTAAATTCACAGGAAATCACTGAAAGAAAAAACACACATATTGAAAAGATGTGAAAACTTTTTCCGTGTATTCCATGACAACGCCTGATCCTTAACACTCCATCGAACACGTGCGGAGATGGGTTTAAATCTATAAAATCTCCACTACATGTACTTTAAAAATAAAAGGTGTTCGGCTGACATAACAATAACGGCGGATCAACATCAGGCTAATTTGATTCTTTTGCAGAGCAAAGCAGCATAAGGGCATCTACACTCGACCAAAAAAGTTCGGAAACATGAACCTGTTTTTCAATAATTAAAAAAAAACTATGTAATGTAGTGGAAAATCTTTTGCGTATTTAAAAAAGTAACGAATGCTGTGTGTATTATCTATCAATATTTGGTTTAAATATTTACCGTAGCTCACATCGTTATCTTATAATTATTTGAAATAACGATGTTTCAGAGCTTTTTTTTTTTTTT